TGCTCCTGACTCTACCATGGGCTGCAGGCTGCTGTGCGGTGTGGTCCTCTGTGTCCTGGGAGCAGGTGAGTCTTGGGTTCACACCGGCTTTTGTTAAGCTCCAAGCCTTTTCCTTGTGGCTGCAGCAGCACAATTCCTCCTGGACTCTGTCTGAATTTTGTCCCCTTCCCCCACAGTCCCCGTTGACACTGGAATTACCCAGACGCCAAGACACCTGGTCATGGGAATGACAGATAAGAAGTCTTTGAAATGTGAACAAAATCTGGGACACGATGCTATGTATTGGTATAAACAGAGTGCTAAGAAGCCACCGGAGCTCATGTTTTACTACAACTATCAGGAACTCAGAGAAAACCTGACTGTGTCGAGTCGCTTCTCTCCTGAATGCCCTGACAGCTCTCACTTGTACCTTCACCTGGACGCCCTGCAGCCAGATGACTCCGCCATGTATCTCTGCGCCAGCAGCCAAGACACAGCCTTGCAGAGTCACTGCCTCCCTGTGCACAAACCTCGGGCACAGCCAGGAAGCTGTGGGAGCCACCGAGGTCTTGGTTGAACATTTCTTGTGAGAAGCCCGACAGAAGTTTCAGAACATAGTGCCACCTGCTCATTCGACCCATGCGGCGACTTTAAATTCTGTGCATGTGTTAAACATGTGGTTTTTCTTGTACCTGAGTTACTCTGCCTGTCAACTTGTTAAATCACACACACACACACACACACACACACACACACATTTTTATCTAGGGTTTTTAAAATATTTAATAGCTTTTTTATAATCATGAAATAAAACAAACCCTTTGTTAAAGAGATCATTTGGTATAAGCTTTGACAAGAATTCTCTAGTGTAAACAAACACTGGTGCCACCCCAGGGTCACACCCTGCACTGGGCCAGAACACTGTCCTGCGAGGAGCCGTTTTGTTTTGACACTTCAGGTCCAGTGGTTTCCAGGCCTCTTCGTGGGAACCTAGGAGTCCCTTCTGTCGTAATTGTTGCCACCCAGGGTCAGGCAGCACTGGGCTTCAGGGAATCAGAGAAGGGACTTCCAGGCAATGGTCCCAGGACTGGAGCCAGGTGGAAAGGATAGGAGGAGATGCACTGTTTGGGAAATGAGTTCAAGAAACATTTATCTTTTTTCACCAATTCTACTATTCCACATTTTAGCTTGTCCATTCTCTAATTTCTCTTTCTTACCCTCAAAGGTAGACCATAAGTCCTAGACCTGATCAGAGCTCCAAGTGGGCACAGACGCTTTCTCTGAACCCCACAGGCAGCAAACGTGCCTCTCTCTGCTCTGATCAGTTCAGAGCTGTGGGCCCTGGGCCCGAAGCTTCCTTAAACATCCACGTCTTTCCCTTGGTATGACATGACCTTGATTGGCCATGCACGGTGACACACATCTATATTGCCAGCACTTTGGGAGGCCATGGTGGGAAGATTGCTTGAGGCCAGGAGTTCTAGACCAGCCTGGGCAACATGGCTAGACCCCACACCTCGTCTGTACAAAAAATTGAAATGTCCTTGTTGATTTGAGGTCTAAGCTCCTTGCTGGGTTTCCTCAACACAATGACACTTCAGGGCCGTTTTTCCCCTTTTGGTCTCTCTCTCTTTTTAAATTGTTTTATAATTTGTGTAAATATATGGATTGCAAGTATAATTTTGTTACATGGATATATTGCATTGTGGTGTAGTGAGGGTTTTCAGTGTATCCATCGCTGGAGCAGCGTACGTTGTACCCAAGAAGTAATTTCTCATCCCTCACCCCACTGCCACCCACCCTCACTCTTCCAAGTCTCCACTGTCCATGATCCCATACTCATACACACAGGAGCTGAGCCTGGGGGCATCGGTGAACACAATGACACTGGGGCTCCCACTGTCATGGGAGTTCCTCTAGAGAGATTGCTGGAGCCATCAGGGCAGATACACAACAGAGAAATGAAGAATTTGGAAGAGATGTACATTCTCATATATTTAGTGTGACCATATAATTTATCATCTAAAGTGGAGCATGTTTGGTAGTCAAGGGGATGCTGTTAATAATTACACTCAGACAACAGATGCAAAGTGGGACACATGTTTACTCACCTGTGTCCCATCCTGGGGCCTCATCTCCAAGACCTGGGAATGAAGAGGGTTCAGACTTGCCTGGATCCTGCCACTGGCCCCAGGCCCCTTGGCTGTGGGCCCTTTTGCTCCAGAGGCAGGGGCTCTTCAGTGCAGGTGGGATACTCCTGTCTTGGGCTTGGAGGCTGCATGCAGTTCCAGGCCTTGG